AAAACCATTTTTCAGTAGGAAAATCCATTGAGCAAATGGAAAATTATTAAATTAACTAGTCTTGCATATGATCCCCAATTGATTATAAAAATTACATTGGCACTATGAAACAAAATTTTWAATTTTGTAACGTTTTCAAATAGAAAGGCGAAACACCTGGCATGTGTTGCAATATAGGTAGAACAAAACTTGATACGTTGCTACAGCTACCAGAACCGTTACGCAGCTTACTCATGGGTGACCATCCTGATCACGATCACTTCATTAATCGTACAAGGAAATATAATGGTTGTTTTCAAATKACATCTTTGGTGCTAAACAAGTTGTTGAAGAAGATTTTATGTCATTTTTTAAATTCCAAGGTCAAGTATACCATTTGTATGGCAGTTTGATTCAAAACACTCAGGAAAACCCAAATTTTTTACAAATATATTTTATTGAGGAAGATAAAAAAGAAATTAAACTTGRATGTTCCTTTATSCAGAAGTTAAACGAACGTTAGTCAAACAGCTACAAAATATACGGCATACTGAAAATAAGTATATTCGAGAATTTAAAATCAGAGTAGAGAATGCAAGAAAACATTCTACTAATTTTAAGATGGTGATTAACGCAGATAGAAAATTTGCTAATAGACACAAAGGCTATTACAACGCAGCAACAGCTAATGAAGCAGCTTTAGTAATAGTTGGGCAGCAATTTGAAAAAAGATATATTATCATTCAAAGCCACGATAATCAACTACATCCTACGACGCACTTCAATACCCTCTGATGTTTTGTTATGGAGAAGATAGATACTCGATAGATGTTTTGCAGAATAATGCTCAGAAGGATGCAAATAAAAAATTTCTCCTTAAGGATAAAACTATATCAGCTTCTGACTTTTATTCATATAGAATTATGGCTAGAAAAGAACTAGATAATCATTTGCTTCGTTATGGACCATAGTTAAACCAATATTTAGTAGATATGYATGCAAAAATAGAGAATGAAAAATTAAATTTTATCAGAAATCATCAAAAACAGCTTAGAGCAGATAAATATATTCATTTAAAGGATGCCGTTGAAAAACAAGATGTTGAAGCAGATCAACTTGGAACCTTAATTGTGTTGCCATCATCTTTTATAGGAGGTCCACGATGTATGTATGAACGATCCCAAGATGCACTGACGTACGTTTGACACTGTGGCAGCTCAGATTTATTCATAACTTTTACGTGTAATCCGAAATGGCAAGAAATCAAGGAAGCACTTCTACTAGGACAAAAACTTTACCATCGCTCAGACATCATTGCAAGAGTTTTTAATTTAAAAGTTAAGAAGTTAATGGATTTGTTGAAAAAAGGTGATTTGTTTGGGAAATTGAGATGCCATATATATTCCATTGAATGGCAGAAGCGAGGCCTACCTCGCGTACACATATTGCTATGGTTGGAGAATCGAATATCATCAGATATGATAGATAAATTCGTGTGTGCTGAGATTCCGAATCCAGTTTTAGATCCTTTATTGTACGAGATAGTAAAGGCTAACATGAAACATGGACCATGTGAACTTTTGAACAGAARTTCTCCTTGCATGAAAGAAGGTGTTTGCAGCAAACTTTATCTAGTTACCCCAATACAATATGTCGCGAAAGGTAGCAATCACGCAGTGTTTGGTTTAGGAAAAGCTGAAAATACAGATGAAATAAAAATATATGAAAGTGGCAGGTATATCAGTAGTTCTGAAGCAGCTTAGAAAATTTTAGGTTTTCGTATACACGATAGAAAATGGACAACGTGTTTACATTACAGCAAATAATGTCACAGAAAGAATAGAAAATCCACCTACAACTACTCTTCAGACTTTTTTTCTGATACGTCAAACCGATGATTTTGCAAGAACATTGGTGGTTTATCCACAAGTTGCTTCGTATTATGTGTGGATAAATAAGAAATTCGTTAGACGTAAATATGGTCAGAATGTCGCGGGYTGGTTAGGAGTTAAGAAAGATACAGCTTTGGGTAGAGTTTATACAATCCACCCAAAGAATTTTGAATGTTACCATCTTGGTCTTCTTCTTCAACACGTAAAAGGCCCAACATCGTATTCATTTTTTAAGATTGAACAACACCRAATATCCGACATTTCAAGCAACTTTGGATTATTAGAAGATGAAAATCAGTGGAATTTAGCTTTAGAAGAAGCAGTAGTATGTCGTTCACCTAATAAAATAAGAGAACTATTCGGTATAATATTCATATTTTKCAATCCATCGGACGCTTCAAGGCTTTGGAACAAGTATAAGGACAATATCGGGCGACAATACCATAGTCATACACGGGAAATAATATAACAGAGATGAACCTTATAATACATTTTTGGTATTAATTGAAGATTTTGTTTTGAATCTAGGTGGGATGAACTTAAAAGAATATGGTTTGCCAACTCCTACAAGATCTTGTTGGCTGTTAAAAGAAACAAGCTATGATTTAATTGCTTTATACGAGATTGTTAAGCAAAATGAACACTCATTGACCGAGGAACAGTGGTTTGTTTACGAACAAACGTATTGAATAGCAGCAAATTAAATTTAGGAAAATGTATATTTTTGGATGCTCTTGGTGGAACCGATAAAACCTACTTAATCAATCTATTTTTGGCTAAAGTAAGAAGCTCATATGGGATTGCAATTGCAGCTGCATCATCAGGAATTGCTGCTACGATTTTACATGGAGGAAAAACTGCTCATTCTGCTTTCAAGTTGCCACTCAATTTGAACRCCATCAAGACCACAACGTGCAATATTAAAAAACAATAAAATTTGGCGAAAGTTCTAAAAAAATGCAAGCTCATAGTTTGAGATAAAAGTCCAATGTCTCAAGAAAGGATTTGAAGCTTTAAACAACTGTCTGAAGTATATGAAAAATTCGAATTTATAGATTGGAGGAGTCACGGTACTGCTGGCCGAGATTTTTGACAAACTCTACCAGTCGTACCAAGAGGAACTCGATCTAATGAAATTGCAGCCTGCATCAAGTCTTCATATTTGTGGCCTCTAATAGAAAAAGTTTCTTTGACCATAAATATGCGAGTACATTTAAAAGGAGCAGAACTGCTAACCAGTTTTCAGAGTTACTCTTAAAAATAGGAGATGGAAAATATCTGGAATATGAAGAAAAAATTACTTTGCCGACCGGATTAGGTACTGTTGTAAAAACTATAAAGGAACTCACAGATAAAATAAATTCAGGCATCGAAAACATCAAAAATAAATCAATGTACTGATTATGTGAGAGGGCCATATTGACGTCAATAAATGATACAGCAGAAGACATAATCAAAATATTATTGGACTCTTTCAAAGCCAAAAATATGGTATAAAGGCCAGTGAATTCAGTTCTGGAAGTAGATGATGCAGTTAATTATCCAGTTGAATATCTCAATTCACTGAACCCTGGATTTCCACTACATTTAATATTGAAAATTGGTT